AAAAAAAAAAAAAAGAACACATCTTATTTTTTTATACACATTTCTACAGAACTATACATTCTAATTAGACTTTTAACTTTTTTTTTTTTTGGTCTTTTTTCCATGTCCGGCAACGGTTCGCAACCCTCAGTGTCGCCCCCATACCGGACCAGGACCGGCAACGGGATCGCAACCCTCGGTGTTGCCCCCGCGCCTCGCTCAACCAGTGAGCGGGAACCGGTCTGTATGTGGGATCCGAACCCTCGGCAGGAGCGCCGCCGCTTCCCAAGCGGCGCACTAGTGCAGTGCGCCACCGGGCCGGCCCTGCTCATTCTGATTTCTGACTGGACTTTGACCTTGCTGTCCAGATTTTTGACTCCACGGAACCCCTCTTGGTACCCACGTGGTGACCAGCCACGGGCACATGGGAGAGACACACGTTCAGAGTTGAATGCTGGCACTGCTGCTGAAATGTGCAATTGTGTTATATTAATCAGAAGCATTCTGATACCAGTTAAGTCTCTACGGAGTATTGCTGTGTGGATTAGACAAGAGATGTGGCATGTGCCCACACTCAGAGCGGGAGCTCAGAAAATGGTGTGCCTTTGCCCCCTCACAGCGAGGCTCCTCCATGTTTTCCAGAAATCCCACGTCAATCATGGCTGTGCGCAGGACACTGCCATCTGCTGGTGCAGCTGTGCCGCCCTTGGCTCCCCCAGGGACAGCAGAGGCTTCCTTGTTAGTTATTTCTGCCCAACCCTTGGCCCCTCTTAGAGAAACACCCTGACTGCTGAACTGGAACAGTACGATATGAGCCCAACTCCTGGCCTCAGTCAACTGAACCAGAAATGAACACTGATCCCAAACCAGGTTAATCAAATTATGTGTCCCCTGAAGCTTGGAATCCACACAGAGCTGGGAGCTGGACGAGGCAGTCTAATGCACTGGCGGGGCTCAGGCCACCACCATGCTGGGCCTTGTGCCCATGGAGGATGGAGCAGAGGGAGGAGGCAGGTGCACAGGGGAGTGGCTGTCCAGTGACCTGGCTTCCCATCACTAAGAGGCCTGGCTCTGCCCTCTGCCTGGGCATCTGCAGTCAGCCATCCTCAACTTAAATGGTGTTAGATGGGTTCGGTTCTTTGTAACCAAATGGGGACAGTGCCATATGCTATCTCCTCCTACTTATGACCCAGGGCAGGAAAAAGAAGGCTTTATCACACAGCCAGAAGAGGCAAACTGCAGGGAAGAATCACTCTGGGAGAGCTAAAGCCAGGTCCACCCGAGTTATGGACACGTCAGTGACACCCATGCCTGGATGTACGGAGCATCCCTGGGCATGCTGGAGTCTGCAGAAGACGAAGGGCAGGAGACAGCCCTGTGCCCTGTTGTCACCTCCATTTTCTAGGGAGCAGCTGTGAGCACATCACGAGGTTCTAATGAGTTAGAATGACCTTCCCAAAAGCCTGTGCTCAGAGTCTGAAAATGTCCACCACTGACAAGTGTATGTAACTAACACCTGCCCCCAAGACTCTCTGCTTTCTAAACCCTCCAAGGCAGGCAGGACAGTGGACATCACAGGGAACAGTCACGCAACAAACACTCCGAGGCAGTGGCTTTGGGCACAGACTCAGGAGCCCCAGAGACTGGTCTAGGGCTCAGCTGTGGCAACATCGCCCAGATGGCTCCTTAGAAAATGCAGATTCCTGGGTCCAGCCCAGAACCACGAAATTCCATTTACAGAGATGGGACTCTGGCATTGTATTTGTACCAGCATAACTGTCCTGGGGAGCTCCTCCCCAAGAGGACTGCCAGGTCCCTCCCTGGGAGCAGAGATGTGGTCCCTGTAATTTCCCATATTCCCAGGAGAGGGTGCCTTGTCTGACACAGGGCAGGCACTTGCTAGATACTGCTGAATAAGTAAATGAGCATAACTCATTCAGGTCTGGGTGATGACCCCTGTGAGAAAGGGTTCCACGGTGCCTTGGGCACCAACTGGACAGCAGGGAGTGTGCTCTGGCTGGGGCTGAAAGGGAGGGAGGGAGGGAGGAAAGATGGAGAAGGGAGAGGAAGGGAGGTGTTGGAGAGGAAGGGGGTCGGCAGCAGGGAGGGATCCAGAGCTCACCTCCTTCACTGCCTTCTTCCTTCCAGAGCCCTCTCGGATTGCCCTTTGAATAACATCTCTCCCTGCCAAGTAGCCTAATATTTTAATACAACTTGGTCTTCTCTGGAGGATAGTTTTCAGTTGTGGGTGGTACAGAGAGAAGCCTTCATAGTGTGACTTGGCCCCTCTCTGCTGGAAACAGCTCTGTGTGGCACAGCCCACCAGGCTCCACATCAGAAGTCCTGGCATTTCTCACAACAGAACTGCAAGATCCCTCTGTGCCTCTTCATTAAGACAAGGCCAGGGCAGGACAGCTGCCCAAGCTGGCACAAGGGCCCCCGGGAGGCCTCTGTCTGCACCTGGGTGGGCCATCAGAACCCGAGCGCGAAGGGGCAGGAGGCTGCTCCAGATGCAGCAGACGTGGACCAAATGCATGACGATGATTGCTGCTGGTGTCATGGGAGAGGTTTCCTGAGGGTCACGGTCAAAATCCACCAGTGTCAAGAAGAGCCTGTGGAAAGGAGGGGCTGGCCGTGGCCCCCAGGAGGCAGCAGTCCCCCATTGAAGCAGAAGCAGAAGGCCAGATCCCTGCAGATGCCAGGGCTCTGGGGCCTTCCCCACAGGGCTGGGAGCAGGCAAGGCCCGGGCAGGCAGCTGAGGTCTAACTGGTGGATGTCGTGGAGACTAAATGATTCAAAGACATATCCTCACCCATGGCTGGGCCGGCCAGTGCTGCTGGCAAGTGCAGTGGGCGACTGCTCTGAATTCTAGAACTACCCGACTGCACTGCAATGGGCAGCCAGCCTTGCATGCCCGGGGAGAATCAGTCCTCCCACAGGAAGCCATCACCTGCCCCATCTGTCACTGCCACGCCGGTGACAGGTTAGCCAGCCTTGTCCTCACATGAGTGAATCAAGAGCAAAGCATGGCCCCACTTCTCTGAGGTGTCCTCGCCACCTGCCAGCTGTGTGGGCTGTGGTCGATGGCACTTTGGGCTGATGAGGTCCTGGAACGTGAGC